TTTCGTTATCCAGAAGCGAGTTAAAGTCAGCGTTGTTTCGAGTCGTACCAAGTTACAACATTGAAATTTGTTGGATAAATTAACGAAAAATACCACAATCGAAGTAAGGTATGTAAGTAAATATTTCATTTTATGAGATTTCGTGTTCCATGCCCTGAAATACCGACTAGTAAAAAATATTTCATTTTATGAGATTTCGTGTCCCATGCCCTGAAATACCGAATAGTAAAAAATCAGTGGTTCTTTAGCACACTCTACACCTAATTAAATTGACTAACTTGGATAGACTCGACATCCAATACTTTTTCGTATCCCAGATTTTGTGGAGTCACCTGACGCCCTTACCATTTTCGTGTCATATCTTCTCATATTGACTTAGGCAAGTATTACATTACAGCGCTATTGGTGATAGAAATTAAAATAAAAAAATGCGATGGTATGCGTCTTAGTTTTAAGTTGCGTGCGTTTAGTTTTAGTTGGTCTCTGTAAACTCATTGTGAACGCATTCTGCACAAAAACACGTTTATTGAACTTGGGACAAAATTAGTGATCCCTCATCTTTTCTCTTCTTTCGTTCATTGTTGCTACTGTTACTTTGTTCGTTGCACCAGAGTTTCCAAGATTCGCAGTCAGTGAATCGGAGAACTGCAGCCTCGTTCGAAAGGGCGAGGTAAGATTCTTGTAGTCTAGCGTCCTTGGTAATCCGACTTAGCGGTTCCTCGGAACCCCACTGTATCGTTGAGGGTGACGTTAGACTACCACTTGCATTTAAATGCTCGAACATCGATCAATCAAATAAATCAATGTAACTGTAATGATTTGCCAAAGTGCGAATGTCTTCTACAAATTCATATTTTTCTAAATTAGAATTGAAATAGAATTTAAGCAGAAATTTATTTCAATCATCTTATAACGAATATTCTGTTTTGGATATTTCATAGAATTTTCTATGTTTAGTGCATACTTCTTTTGTTGGTGTCAAAAATATTTGTGAAATAAATTTAATAATATATATTTAATTGTCATTAGGCAGGATCCATCAGTCCATGTTATGCCATCTTTTATCCATCCATTTGGAAGTTGATAAATCTGTAACAAACTTATTTGTTGGATTAGTAGTTTAAAAAAAATTCCACAAAAATTCCAGGCCACTAAAACAGTCCCAGCAATAATGAATAGCCAGAAGGGCTAGACTACTGAAAAGGAAACTGCGATACAATAGCCAGAAAGGTTATTAAAAAACAAGCATGTCTTACTCAGCAATACAATAACCAGAAGGGCTACTGTACAATTAACGTTACAAACCCGAGCAACAAACCGTGTTTCGCAACACTAATTCACTAGCACTAATTGTGTAATAGGAAATTTTCAAAATCAAAAGCGAAAAGTGCTTTGATATGTTTAAAACTTCCGAGAATAAATACGCAACAATATTAATCAATGTCTCATGTTTAAAAATACGCAACACTAATTGCGACGCGTCCAGCACAACTCTGCTGGCGGTTGCTGATGAATGACGACCTCTGTACAGTTGTTGTAGCTGCATGAGGTGATCAAGGAGCAGGAAAAGACTTCCACGAATTCAGTGGAAGAATTTGGGCATTTTGTAAACGCAACACTACT